CTTGCTCATCAAATAATCTCACTTTATGCTGGCTCTTATGCTAAGAATTAACTAGGAAAGTTCAGTCTAGGAATGTGAGACTTTTCCATTCTAGACCTAATATTATTTATACTAGGATTATGTGAGGATGCTGTGTGCAAAAAATGTTCTTTCTGTATCTCTGCAAGTGTGATGGGTGAGAGGATGGGGATGGAGTAAGGGGAAGTGGGGAGAGCTCAATGGTCAAAGAAAGGGATGCTGAACATATGGAAGCTATGTGTGTCTATGGGTAACTAATTATGCCAGAAGGAAAATAACTTCCAAAATCTCTCTCCTTTAGGGTTCTAAGGCCCAATACACTCTGCTTAAGGGCAAAAATGCCTTAACCTCATATGATAGCAAACTTTTCCACCAGGTCTTCGTGGTGGAGGAGGGCAGAGCAGGGCTTGGACTTTAATAAGGTGTGGAGGATTCCCAAGGAAGAGAGGGAAGTGGAGATGGTTCAGAAAGCAGACATTTGGCACAGGCAGGACAGCATAAATATTATAGCAATTGTTAATTTAGTGAGGCCATCTGCAAATTGAAACTTTGACTAACTATACCAGAAATATCCCTCCTATTTGAATACAGCAATCCACTGCTTTCAAGGGCTAACGAGTTCTTTACCTTTATTGTCCATTCAGGCTTGGAAAGGAGATGTATTAGTGATGGGGATACGCGGTTCAGGGAAATGTTAGCACGACTTTAAGTTGGCATTCACCATTTAATACAAAAAAACAATCACACACATTTATATTTTCATAGCTGAAGGACATATGTAATAAAAGGTGATTGATACATTGGGTGCTTGAAATTCAGGGTCATTCTATCATTTATCTGCAATAAATGTTTCCAAACGTCGTTTTCCGTCTTCCAGGAAGACGTGGCCCTGATACGTCTCGCTCCCTCAACCCCACTAGGAATCTCAGCGGCGCCTCCCACTGTAGAGTCTCGTGACCTCAATAACGTCTCTAAGAGAGCATGATCTCAGTTCTATACCATCTCCTTGCTTTGAACGCCTGCAAAAAACTTCTTCCAGGCTGGTAATTATTCTCCTTCGTCTGGTGGGGGCGTTGGAAATGTCTGCATTTATCTGTAAAAGAGAAGTTCCAACTCTCTAGCACCCAAGTCTGGTATTCTTCAATTACTCAAGAGCTCGGAAGGAAAATTCCCCCCCCCCCGCCAAGAGAACACGGGCAAGAACAGGGTAAAAATTGGAACGCTTTTCCCACTTCCCTTGCTTCTCCTCACTGCCCTCCTTTCTCCCTCTCCTTTAGTGAAGGGCGCTGGAGTTGAGGGTCTGCACATAAAAGCGCGAGGTGCCGCTTTAGTTACAATCGAGTCTGTGTCCCAGGGCGTTCCCAGGCCTCCCTCTGCTCGCCTTTCCCTCACCATGATTCTCCAAGGCTACCAGACACAAAAGGCCTTCTAACACCGCGTTACAGCGCGCCTCCTAACATTGAGAAGGGCATTCGGAGTCTTGTTGAGGGTCTTTGGGACTCCAGTCGCCCCCGTTTCCTCCTCCTGACTGAAAGCTGGAAGGGATTGTGCGCAGGAGCAAGGGCCGGGTGTGGCCGAGGGATGCAGCCCAGATTCCCACGCTCCTTAAAAATCTCAGGCTCAGCTCACAGCTTTTAGTGTCTCCCTTCTCTTAGGCCTCCCCCCCCCACCCCGACCTAGGGCCTCAGAACATTTTCAGGAACAGGGAAACTTCCCTGCCCAAGGGACATCAAACTGGTCCAAACCGAGACTGCTGGTGGCCGAGAACATAGGGAGGCCAGGGCCGCTGGGGCGCAGCTGGCGGCCAATTGCAAGGGTTTGTGGATGGCTTTGATGTTTGGAATTCAGGGACCAAGAAAACTCCCCAAATTAAGTTCCTCGCTTACTTTCCCACTCTGGTGAATGGATGGAGGCTTCGCCGGCGTGAGTTAGGGCATTGAGACTCTTTGCACTGAGAGTGGGTGTCAGAGGCCCTGGGCATTCTTCTGCGCGGTCTTGGAGCCACAGTTGCGCTTCCTTCTCCTCAAAGTTACGTGCTTGTGGGTTCCCGGGTTAACAGGCCCTGAAGTCAACAAACTCCCCACACGGTGGCTCCCTCGACTAAAGTTGAGTAGTAACTTGGACCAGGAGTCTTGGAAATTTTCAACTATTTCTACAAAATTGAACTAATTTCAGAATTCGCGTGGGGGGCAAAAAAAGGAAGGGTTTTAATGGGGTTCACCTTTGACGTGAAGCACGGCGGAACACAGGAAAGCCACAGCTGGGAATGGCTTTGGGTGCTTTTGGAAGAACGTCCCTGCTTGCTTTTCCGGTCGTGTTCACCGCGGGCTCTCTGTGTGCGAGCTCACCCCTGAGACAGGGCTGAGGACGAAACACACACGTGTAAACACGCCGACATAAATCAGCGAACATATGCAGCGGACACGAGAGCCGCATGCTCCTGGAGATGGGATCTGAAGCTTTATTCCAGGCAGGCCATATGGAGCAGGGCCAGGAATAAACCTTAGACGAAGCAGGCAGCTCCTGGCCAGGAACAAGCACTACTTGGGCTTCTTGGAGGAAATGTTCCATCTCAAACAGGAGAGCGGGAACAATGTTGAAATGAGGTTATTTTGTCTTAGCAAAAGCATGTAAGACTAATATAACTTATTTAATGCGAGACTCCTATCAGTAACAGGAAACACTCCCACTAAATTGTCATTTCTTTTATCCTTTCCTTTAAGATGCAAATAATTAAAATGCATACTAATGGCTACTCAGGGCTGATTTCCTTTTAAAAAGAAATAGACCTCAGTCCTCTTACTGGAGTAGAAATTTATGAATCTTCTTAAATTACTCAGGGACTTGAAGTCTAATTGTGGACGTGGTCTTCCCTTATCGCTTGTCTGACGTCATTTTCAGTTTTTTTAAAAAAAGCCATTCCCAGTGGAGGGAATGCGTGTCAAAACCCCATAACAAGTGAACTTTTACTGGAAATTCTCAGGCTTTCCTAGTCTGTGGGCCCACACAGAACTCAAGTTGTAAATAAAGTGGAGAGGGCATCTTTCTTACCTCAAATATCTTCAAATTCCAATTTTTGTGTAAAACACAATTTCAATTTTTAAAAACAGTAAGAGTCATAGGAAGTGTGAAGGTCTCCAAATAGGCAACTTAAACATGTAACAACCTAAGGAGACACTGTAAATTCTCATATCAAGGCAATGATGTTAGGGACTTCCCTATTGTTATTAAGGGGATTCACAGATATTACAAGGGGGCACACCTGAACAGAAGGCTGATCTGATAATTAAAATGGCCATGTTAATGGCATCATTGTCGAAGATACAGGTTTAATCTCTGGTGAAAAGCAAACTAGGGGCGAGTTCTGGCAGGTTTTGTGTGTGTGTGTGTGTGGGGGGGGGCATCTGCGAACAAACATTTCAGCACCAGAGCCTGGACAGCTCCTCCGGCCCAACTCCATAAGCAGCTCCAGCTCCAATCAATCTAGGAAGAGTCAGCCTGTTCAAGACAGCCAGACGCATCAGAAATTTACTGAAAAACCTCCAAGATTACCCTTTAAAAACCAAACGACTTCCACATTTAATTGTCTATGTGGAAGGACATACGCAAGAAATGAGGAGATCTAAATTAAATTTATTAATAGGAGAGCTTTATGGTGCTTAATGCTAAGACTAGAGCTCTGTATTATGCGTCTTGATGGGGGGGAATAAACAGAAAGGATATAGTTAAAAACATGACTTATACTATTCTAAAGAATCTATGAATTCTTTACCCATCTTTGAGAAATGGGTGAACCTGAGAACCATCAGAGTAATTGAACTTCTCAAAAATTGGATTGTATGAGTGAAAGGTGTTTATGAGAAGTCGATGACTCGAGACCTTATCACTCAAGAGGACAGCAGAGAATAGTTAATATGTTCCTTGAGGGACTGGGATGCTGACGTCTTTTTCTGATACTCGTTCATTACGTGACTGGGGGGGGGGGGGGGGAAAGGAAGTCATTTCATGAATAAAAATCCGGAGCGCGCAACAGTGCAACAAATAGGCAATAGGCAGACAGATGTTGACAAAGAGGGCTCTCCTAAAACCGTGCTCAGATTTTTGTTTAGGGCACATACGAGCCGAGGGCCGGTTGGTTACCTCTGTAACCACCAACAGCAGCTGCTGCAGAAGACACAGCTTCAGACGCCAGGCAGAGGCACCTCAAACGAGCGAAGGCCCCGGGCCCCGCGCAGCGGCCTGACCCAGCAGCCCGACCCCCGCCGCGGAGCGCCGTCCTCCCACCTCCTGCCTCCTCTTCCCCGGACACTTTCCCTTTTTCTCTCTCCATCGCTCGCCTCCTCCTCCGGCGGACTTGCCACCACCAGCCTCTCCACCTCTTTCACTCGCCTTTCCCTCTCCTATCCTTCTCCCCTTCTCTCCTTGCCCCCTTCCCTCATGTCACGTGCCGCCGAGTTCTGTGCGTCTGCAAACTTTTGAACTGAACCCCAGCGGCCTCGGCAAACAAGTCTCCGGCTCCCGCGGTTCGTGGCTGCGCCTTCTCCTCCGGCTCGGACGCCGGTCGGCGATGCCCGCTGGGCTGTGACTCCCGCGCGGACACTTAGAGGAGCCCTTTGACCTCGTCCTACCTGGCCGCGGACCCTCTGCTCCTAGCGGTAAGAGCCGAGCGACGGCGGGTGGGAAACCACCTTTTGAAATCACTCATTGCACTGACACTTTCCCGCCACGCCGGCATCAAGTTAGCTCTTCTTCGCACCAGGTCTGGCTAGTCGCTGGGCGCTGCGTGTGTGTAATTATTTTCCCTAACCACAGTGAAGGGAGTAGCAGGTTGCAGGCGCGGGCTGGCGCGCTCAGCCGCGTTGGCCCCGGGCGCTCGAGCATCCCGGGGTCCCTCCTCCAGCCCCAGGCGCTCCAGCGGGGTCAGGGGCGGAAGGCCTCGGGCGCCCTGACCGCTGTGCGCCCTCTCTCCCATCCTTCACAGAATGGCCATGTGCAGCGGCGCGAGCCTGGCCCTGCTGGTCTACGGGATAATGGTGCACAGCAGCGTCTACTGTTCACCTGCCGCCGCAGGATTGCGCTTCCCGGGAATCAGGTGGGTACTGGCTGCCCCGATGGGCCACTCTCGGGGGTCCTGGGGTCTCACGCCCTTCCCCCAGCCACCTGGGTCCTGGATGGGGAGCGCAGGACCCCCAGGCCTCCCCTCCCACGCCCCGCCAGAGGAAGGGGAGGGGAGGGCAGGGCCTCCCTTCTTTTCCGATTCTTTCCGAGTCTTTCCTCGAGTTGGGCAAACTCCGGCTCCGCGGGCCCTCCGGCGGTGGAGGCGGGTGGAGGACAAAGCTCCGCAGACTTCGCTTTGTTACAGCTGGTTAAGGAATACAGGGGCGGGGTCTCCCTCTTTATCCTCTGAACTCCCTCCTAGCCTCAATTCGAATTCTTTCCTCTGGAAGAGCTTTCTCTCCAACGATCCATACCCCAGCTATGTTTGAGGCTCAGGTTGCTTGGGGGAGGACAGTATGGAATGGGCTGCTTGAGAAGTGACTTGAAAGAACAAGAACGAGTGTGCGAAGGCGGGGGAGAAATGGATGCCTGGAAGGAGCCGGGAGGGCAAGCTAGCACTGGCAGCAGTGAGACAGACTTGCCGGCTGCAGGCTCAGAAACTCTAGCTTTTTTTTCTCTAGCCCCGGGCTGCCAGGGGTCCTCACTGCAGCCCTGACCCAGGGGAGAGTGGCAGTGTGCTTTGCAGCTCCGCGTCCCTGACCCGCCGTGCGCCGTGCGCCGCAACGGGAGGTGCGCGCCTTCTGCCGGCGAGACAGCTTCTCCGAGCCGGGCCGAGAACCTTCACTTTCCGTGTCTGGCTTAGCATGGATTTGACTGTGTAGCACGGTTCAGCATGTGGGTTACCGGTTAGGTCTGGGAGATGGCCGAGTGAGATGCACTTGTCAGGCCCTCCTCTCCCCAGGGGTCACTGGCAGGCTAGGTGACGAATCCCAAGGAAATGTGACCTGGAACCCCACTCAGAAAGGGCGACTTGCCCAGGCCACCTTGCCAGGAAAGTGCTTAAACCAATGCTCCTCGAGCTGAGCCGGAGATGGAGGGGTTGGAGAGGCCGTCTTGGGGCAGCTCGCTAACTCTAGGTCCCCAGTAGATCCCAAGTCTCAACTACTCCTTTCCCAGCACTTCAGGGTTGAGTCGGGGCCCTTCTGGGTCTTCTGCGAGTCTGCCACAGGGAACAGAAAAGCCAGACTGTTAGGAAACTTTTAAGCCCCTTTCCTCCTTCATTCTCTGCCTTTTGCGAGGTTTGGAGGATCTAGCACTTTCTCTTAGCCAGAGGCACCGAAGGGCGCGGAGAAGCCACAAAATCAACCGCCGCCAAATTGGCCAAGTTTAAGGACATCTATTATTTATGTTCCTGCCAGATCCTTTCCCGTCCCAAAATAGAAGCCGGAGCTTCTCCGTGACCTACATCTGCTCGCGGAAGGTCTCCCCTGGGTTGCGAGGCTGGGGCGGGGTGACTACAGGAGCTGGCTGTGGCACACCCCAGCCTGCTTTCTTCTCGATTCCGTTTTGGGTCTCCCCCTTTGGGTCTCCATTGCCCTGTCCTTCGTCTCCCAGGGTCTTTCTCATCCCCGCCCACTGCTGCTTGGACGCAGCTGGAAAGGGCCGTTTCTGGGGCCCAAGTGTGTGCAGAAGGATTGGCTTATCAAGACCCCAAACTCGCATGCGATCCCTGTCCCTGCGAGGAGTGGTGGGCACCTCTCGGGTGGGGATTTATGTGGGAACAGTTCCCTCTTCCATTCCTAACACGCAAGACAAAACAACTCTCTAAGTGGACCTCTACGAAGAAGGCTAAACTGGGGCAAGTCCTCCTTGCGCCCCAGGGTCTCAGTCTGGATCCTGGAGAGGGACTTGGACTGACCATTCCTTCCGCCTGGGTTTCCCCGCAGGCCGGAGGACGAGGTGTACGATGAGGACGCAAACCTGCTGCAGGACTTCTACGATTCGGATCCACTTGGAATAGGCAGCCCCGCCTCCGTGCCGCAGGACGCATCGACCCTCTACTACCCGGCGGACGAGAGGTACAGTTTGTGTGGCCGGGACCCGGCGACTGCGCCCCAGGGCTAAGATGGTGGGACTCACGGCTTGGCTATCCGCCGCGGGGGACCGTTCTCCCAAAAGCCCTCGAGCTGGCTTCCTCTGGTAGTCGGGTGTAGACGGGGCCTGGCGTATAAGCAGGTTCCTCGTGGGGACAGGGAGGTGTGTGGCCCAATGACTGAGTAAGCGAGCGAGCACCCAATCCGGAGGGGCGCCGAACTCACCTACCATTCCAGGAGACCACGAGTACTCAGGTCTCAGGCATTCCCTGTGCATGAGAGAGTTTCCGATCACACTCGGGTGTGTGCGCGCGCGTGCCCAACAAGGGGGCTTAACGCGGCCAGAGTCCGTGACCCTGGGCGTGCACTTTCATCCCCATTAGAGATGTCGCCCGAGGGATCCTTAACAAGGCCTATCGCAAAGTGCTGGACCAGCTGTCCGCCAGAAAGTACCTGCAATCGCTCGTGGCCAACAGCGCGGGGTAAGAGTTTGGAAAGAGTTAACCGGGTGCGGTGCCGCGCACGTGCCAGGATGTTTGCGCAGGGCGTGCAGGGCGGAGGGGCTGGTGCGTCGGTGCGTGCACGTGGGGCAGGGAGTGCGTCTGCGCTCCGCCCCGTTGTCTGTGGGGCTTGGGGCCCTTCTTGCAAGATCTCAGAGAGGGCACGTAAGTTTGGCGTGAAAATAAGAACTGCAGGACAGGGAAGGAGAGAGGGAGAATTCGGGAGTTTGATACATTTTGAATTCAGGAAGCAAAAGCAAATCTCTAATTAATTCAAGCTTTGAGGGATGAATTGTAAAATTTTGCTAAGCGTGATTTAAGAAAAAATTGTCTTGCGCTGTAAGTTCAAATAGAAATAAACAAACCCCTAAATTTAGACACTTAGGGCAATAAACAGCTTTTGCTCCTGCCAGACAAGCCCAGAGCACAGGGCCTTGCTTGGAGCATATCTCAGCAGAAGGCAACATTTTAATAAAGCCGTTGGGAAAACAGATTACATTTTCGCGATGAATAATTCATGCGATGAAAAATATTGCCTACAGCCTGTCGACTTATATTATTATCATTACGTTTTTCAAGTTACTGTGTGGTAAGGGGCGTGCTCCTGTCTTGACTAGAAATTGCAGATCGATGTAAACTCCTCGGCAGCAGACAACGTGGCATTTGGGGATCTTCGGCTGTTTAGTCCTGTATGTCAGGCTTTCAAGGAAGTTATGACACTTTACTGCGAACACGCAGTAAATGGTCAAATCCCAGAGGGCAGTGTTTTCTGAGAGTTAGACTTTGTATCCTGTGCCTCATCCGTCCTGGGCGCCTTCTGGAAGGATTTGGTGCCAGGATGCTCGGTGGGGAGGAGGTACTGAGGGGCTGCCAGGAAGCCCTGCTCCTGGGCGCATGGTGGACAGGGGTAGCAAACCCCAACCCCGCCTCCTGCAGCCTCCTGCGCAGCAGGGTGCTCTGCCTTTAGCTTTTGAGTCTGTCGCCCTCACCCGCCACCCTCACCTGACCCCCTCTCCTTGCAGTGGAAACTTGGGCATCGGCGCAGATGAGGACTGGAAGCCCCTCTCCAAGCGTCACTCAGACGGGATCTTCACCGACAGCTACAGCCGCTACAGGAAACAAATGGCTGTCAAGAAATACTTGGCTGCCGTCCTAGGGAAAAGGTATAAACAAAGGATTAAAAACAAAGGACGCCGAATAGCCTATTTGTAGCAATGAGTTACCAGCTACCCTATGTATACAATCTTAACTAACACAATGAAGAGTCATTTTCAAAATTGACTGAACAGTCATCGCTCATGTGTTCTATCCAAACATGTATTTATGTATGAAGTCAAGCCATTAAATGAATATTTTGATAATAATATTGTTTTTCTTTTGTACAAAGCACTAGAGAATGCACAGTTATACTTTGTGGACCAATTATTGATATATATTACAAATATATATATTATGGAGATATATATAAGTATAATAGAGAGCAATTCATACAAAGCGTGCACAAGGATGGAAGAATTTGCCTGAGCTGTTTATGTTTTTATATAAATTAAATAGAAAAATAGACAATCATTGTTTTGAATATTACTCCTATTTTTGTAAACAGGAATTAAAAGGATAGTATTTTTATCCACGATAGGCGTGAAGATATTAATACTGACCATTTGTTATTGTATATAAACAATGCTGTCCTGCTCCAGGGTGGGGAGGTTATGATTTGGGAGAAACGCTGGAGGGCTTTCTCTCCCAGCATCCCTGGGGCTGACTGCTTCAATCCCAGCCTTAGGCAGCCAGGCATAGTATCTCCCTGGCTGCTTGGCGATTCCAGTATTTCTGCTTTCTTTTATTCTACTTTTAAGCGTATTTTGTCTCTTTTCCAACTCTCAGCCCACAAGGAAATTCTCCTGATAAAACAACAGCTCGAACCAAATTGTGCTTCTCCCCAGAATTCACGCCACTCCCTGGGGGAAGGAAGACTTGCAGAATTGCACAGAGAAGTGAGGCTTGTGTTGCAAGCTCCCTTTTCTGTACTTCCTGATTTGTCAGGGAACGAAACATCCCAAGGTTAGGGCAATTGGACAAAGCGAAGGGAAGATAGGCATATTGAAGAGGCAGAACATCAGGCAGCAGAATGAGGACCTTGGAGAGGGACTGGTTTTTGGCTGCCGAAGATCAGGGCATTTGGACAAACCCAGTCCCTCTGCAGGTCTGTTAGTTACTTATCTGACTTTGGGCGCTGGGCACAGAAATGGATGCAAAGTACAGTGTGTTTTTCTCCAGTGCTGTTCATGCTTCTCATCTTGTGAAATGGCCAGGATCCTCCCCCTTGAGCCCTGCTCTTCAGGAACCTCGCTTTTCCTTTGTGATTTTTCTGGCGCACCCACCCTCCCAGCCTCTCTCACTATTTAAGTACTGTTTATCATTTCTCACTCCTCTTAAACTTGTGAATGCCTCTCTCTTCTCTCTTTTTTTGTTTGCTGTTCTATGTGATGCAAATATTTATTGTAAAATGTAAGGATCTTTTCGGGTTCACACTCAAGCGCTTAATCACTGCACCACCAGGACTCCTTCTTGTGTTGTTACCAAGTAATTATGCACTAAATATGAAACTTTTGTTTCTTGTTTATTGAGTTTGTAGGTAAAATGTATTTTTCTACATTATGGCTTATTGCTTAGTAAAATTTATTTCATAAAACCAACCTTTGTCATATTAGAATGTGTAGTGTTCACATGTTGCTCAGTTTTACTAACTGATAAATCGTTGAAAAGTCATCTTCAGATGTATGAGTATTATATTTGTGGTAACGAGTAAGGTAAACAAGCTCCAACAGATCTTAAGTATTTCTCTTTTTTGTCCTTTCTTGGCTAAAGAAAGCATGTCTGTTTCCTGTCAATTCTCTCAACATATAATCTCTAGAAACAAAAGAATCTTCACCTTGCTACCGGATCAAACAACAGAAAAACCAGCCAACCATTCTCCCAAATGGCAGGCACGAATTTAATTTTTTTTTTTTTTAAGTTTTGGAAAAATAAAAAGAAAAAGACAAAGAACAAGAAAAGAGTAAAATTCGCTTGTAAAGTTTAAAGGACCTTTACCTTTTCCTTTATGGATTTGATCAATATGAAGTCATAAATCAAAGAATACAAAATAGGATTTGCATTCCCAGGCGGGATGGAGGCTGCCAGGAGATCACATTGCAAACCAGTGAGAACACAGAGGCATTCGATCCATGCCTGAGTCCTTGTGTGGGATCAATCTTTCTTTAATTCTGCAGTCTCCTCAGGCAACATGACGTTCTATGGGATGCAGTTTGCAGCTTTAGTGCCTTCCTTCGCCTTTTAAATCGCCACGAATCACAGATGGCTATTTAGTGGCCCTACAATGCTGCAACACATCAGCTTGCATTTTAATCTTAATTATTTGTTTCTTGGATAATGGGCAGAGTTTCTGTATTTGTGTCAGCTGTTAGTGGTGAAATAGGGCTCTAGTTAACCTTTTATTTATGAAGTCTAGTGTTCTTGTGGCTAGTTGCAAGCATTTTACAGTGATCACCCAGTTTAATCTTTTGTATACTTTTTAGAAATGCCAAGAGCCTTACTAAACTGGAGCAGATTTATGGTGTAGTGATAATTAGGTAAATATTAGTATTAAAGCTCTTATTTTGTGTGCAAATGATTATAAAAACATCTTAACTGAGTATTATTACACACATGATATCTATAAATAGGACTTTGATAACTGTTATATAAAGTGTGTAAAATTTGTATGAATAAATTTTTGTAAACAATGCAACTTCGTCTAGTGTTTGGGGGAAAAAAGACACTTAGGATATAACTGCTTTAAAATCTCTTAGTGTACTATATTTTCTTTACCAACCATAAGATTTTTCATGTCTGGAATATATCTCTATCAAAGCATCCTTATATTTTCATAAACTGTACTTTAGTAGCTGTTGGGTGGGCTATTGAATTCAACAAGAAGTTTAACCACTCTGAGAGGCCTAAGAAGACAGTTCATAAATAGCCATGGATCTTTGAACAGTCATTAAATGAATACTTTCTACCTTCCAGCACATACAGACACTGGTCAGTAGGAAGTGATGGAAAACAGTACCTAAGTAATAGTTAAGCTTTTAAAAGGATCACCCTAGTACTGCTTCTTTATAAGTAACTTTGCAGATAAAATTGGCCCATGTAAAGATGATTCAGATAATCTTGGAGGTTTTAAAACATGCTCAGAAATACATAAACAACTATCTGTGATTAAAATGTGATAAAAGGAAAACAAATGAGTGAACAAAGAGACAGATTGAAAGGAAAATGTGCTGTGAAAATAAGTACAAAATGTGAAAAGACATTTGTGGATTGTATGTTTTATTAATTTGTATCAACAAATTTTAAGCAATGCCTTTTAAGTGGAATTCCCATGAATTTTCAGTGTTTTCTCCATTTCAGAACACTTAACTGTTTCTAGATTGGAAATATATATATTGTATTGGGAGTTATTTCTAATAAGTAACACAAGTTTAATGTACTCTGTTAATAAATCAGTATATATGTCACAGTAGTATTAAAGAGCAACAAGGATTACAAACTATCTTTTAAACTTGGCTCAATATTTAAGGTCCAGAATTATATACACATAGAAATTCCATTTGTAGTAGAATAATAAATGAATACAGTACAGTTTCATGTTACATTGGATTTTATTGGAGAGTTTTTCTTCTCCATATTTGAAACCCCCAGTAAAGATACAGAAATATATAAACACAGGGCTTTTTGTTTTACTAATGTAGTGAATACAAATAGGAAGAGTTAGTTCATTTGTTTGGGGCTATTGACTTGCTAGAATATAGAGACACACCTCAGATATAATTGACTTAAAGTCAAGTTCATACATATAGCAACTTGCTATATTCTATTATATAATTAAAAGTATAACTTTTCTTAGGAAGCTTGATATATTTAGGTATCTATGAAGTTGTAACATGTGTCTTGTTATGATTTAGGACTTGATAGAAAAAAAAATCAACCAAACTTGACCAGGAACACTGATTTAGAATTCTTAATAACTGGAAATTAAGGCAGTGTTTTCCAAAGAGTTTTTTCCTGCAACAGTATAGTTTGAGGTGGGGTGGGTTTGCTAACTATACAGATTTCAGTGATCCAGCAGAACTATAAAAAAGTTTCTGGAATGGGGCTAAGTGACCTGTACTTTAAATATAAACTCTAGCTTATTTTGTACTGACTGATATTCAAGACCTCCTAGATGTAGAATTTGGGGACATATATACAGACATAGCTGTTTTGGAGCTAAGCTGTTTATCTTAAGTAAATAACAGATTACACTATTCTTTAGGCTGGATTCCCTCAAGATGGATATTATTATGCTCTTTGACAATGGCAATATTTACTTGAGGTCAGTTAGGCCACTAGTTTGTATCATTTGGCTTATATGTTCTGGTTGTGTCTCTTTTATGGGAGCCCCCCTGAAGGGGAGTAATCTTACAAGTCCAAACAATGCGGTCACCTGACCAAGCAATTAATGAAACAGTGGGATGAACCTATGCAGTTGACTGGTGGAATCTTAGGGAGGGGCATTGATCAAGAGAACAATTGAATTATATCTGAATTTGACTTTGATTTGTCACCAGCAGTTTACAAGATGCTTTCACTCAGTTGCCTTACTATGACCTCAAATTCAATCTTGTTCACACAGTTATAAGATTGGAAACAAAGATCTAGTCTGATCCCTTCTCTATCATTTTAATTGTTTGAGGAGGAGAAAAGAAATACTGGCTGCCCTTGGTTCAGCCCACCATTCACCACTGAATTTTGACATTGGTTTGTCCCTGTGCCTTTAGGTACTATTTTTTTTAGTCTATTTTTATCTAGTGGTGGTGTAACAGAACTACCATAAGAGGATGGATTTATCATATAGAAATTTATTGGCTCATTTTAGGAGGCTAGTCCAAATTCATGACACCAGCACTAGCAGACTACTTTCTTTCTCCATTGGCTTTGGGAGAAGGTCTTTGTCTCCGCAGTTTCTGTTTCTGGTTCCTTAGTAATCTCTGAACACTATGTATATTCAGAACAGATCATTACGGAAGTGGGGCTTTATGAGGAGGTAGGAGGAAGACTCACTAACAGCCTGTGCTATGCAGATGACACAACCTTGCTTGCTGAAACTGAAGAAGACCTGAAGCATTTGC